ATTATAAAGGAGAAAATAATGTCTTTTGGTCTGAAAATTCGTTTTAATGCTTCCGTATCATTCTAGTGATTGATGAACCAATCAAGAGTAAATCAACCCAAAGCATTAAATCATTGATCGAAATTCAAATCAGATGTAGTTACAAGTTAAACACATATCACAATTTTTGTTTTCGCGATACCCGGTTAATGGAATTATTTGCATTTCACTGCAAATCAGTATCTGAAAAGCAGCCTCTGTTTTAGAAAATCATATAAAATGCTCAATTTCAAATTTGCAAAACGCTTTTCTCCAGATCCCTTTACTTGTTCATTTAAAAGTTCAAAACGTTGTCAGAATGTTTGTCAGTAAAACGTGGTATAATGTGCATTCACGATACTACAGAATGACTACATTTCATTCAAAAACACTTGCAACGCCATCACATGGGAATACGCACGAAGAAAAATCCTATGTGCAAGAGGGAGAAGAGGATTCAGTTCAATCTAAAAGGTTCACCTGCAACTCAGTTATCTTTTGTCAGCGGAAGTTTGGGCTATATTTGCAGCAGGGTAATGCTATATAAATGCCGAATCCCGCAGAAAACGATCAAATGTTTCAAGCACATAAAGGCAGATAATTCCGAACAAAGAGAATACATATATATGATAAGCGATGATCTTTGAACGAACCAGTCACAAGAATGAATATTGAGGTCGTGCAATTTAATACCAGGTAATTGCATCGATTTAAATGGAATGATGAGAAGCAATGGAATCGTTTTAAGTAGACCGGGAAAGATGGGATGGGATCCTTAGAGAAAAATGGGTCAAACCAAGGGATAAAGAAGAAAGAAACTTCGGACTGTAAAGAAACAGATTTTTAAGAGGACGATCAGGTATAAGACAGTGTTTATTGTGTCGGTGAAGACGTCCAGGGAAGACGGAACAATCAAACGAGTACAATGGTACAATGGGACTGACAGACGAAGGAGAGCAACCTAATTTAGTGTCTGATTGGCTGACTGACTGGCTGAATGAACGAATAAATAAAAAGTTGCAGGAGAGTAAGTTTTAGAAGGAAATAGCCGTTACTGGTACAAACTTTGGACTTTAAACAGAGGGAAATAATTGGGATGATTAGTGATCACTCCATCCAAAATAGCACCACCTCTTGGCGCAGTGAAACGTAAATCATTTAGATCAAATCTAATCATCGGAAGAGTATGCTCAATCAAGCAATAGAGGCACCTTGAAGTAAATGAAGAAGTCTGGAACTGACTCATTAGGAAGACGAAAAATGTAGAAATGCACAAATTTGGGATGACAGTAAAGCAAAAGGATGAAAATTCGATGCAACAATATACAATAAAACAGTCAGCACCTTCACAATAGTAGGTAGAAACAATATTGGACCTGCCAATCAAGAGTAATTGAGGAAAGTAACCGCATCGTCTCCAGTCGTTTTATGACATCTTTAACTGTCTCGAAGAAAGCAAATAAAGCCCCCTGAACATACAAGCAAATCCTCCGTGTCTACATGTAAAAATATTTTTATATACCAACAATACATGTCAGGCGAATCCTGACCTTCTCCTGAGAATTCTCGCGGTATGAATCAGAAATGGATTGGGACCAGTTGCCACCGTGTGAACGTGTCGGTATTTGCTCAATAGTACCAGATACGTGAGAGTCAGAGTAAAAGTACAGTATACGATGACCTGATTTCTGGCAGGTCCTCCATCACCACCCACGTAACTTCTATTCCGGACAAATTTCTAGACAGTGAGCAACCCCACCAACACCACACGCTCACCTCTTTACTTGACAACAAACACGTTTTTGCTGGTGATACCAATAAAGGCTCGCGTTGTTTCCAACTGTCTTTTTAGTGAAGTCGTTGGGGTACGCATCGTAAGACCAGGTTCATTGATAGTGCAGCAAGACATGTCAACAAGTGTTACAAGTCTTCTGAAAAGAAAAACGTTTGTCGCCAAAAGAAAACATGGCCTCCATGCAGTCTACAATAATACTGGCCTGAGAAAAAGAACCTAGCCAGAGAAAAATCAAGATTCGAAATGTTGGGATTCATCTGTGACAAATCCGAAACTGTACAGGTATTATGCAGGTCAGAACAAGATGCACACTGGTGCGTTTCTCAAAGCTTTGTTTTAAATCCTTTTTCTCTTGGGCCGTGAGACATGTTGGATTTGATAACATTGAGATAATTTTAGTGGCAGTAAAATGGTAGGTGCCTCTATAGCACTTATAAAGCTTTCTTGAGAATCAACTCAAAAGACTAGTTTCTGCTTTTCAACTGAACTTAAACATTTTACGTAACATCAGGCCAAGCAGAGGTTTCCAGTTGGTGTCACGTCAGCTCTGCTGCCACATTGTTGGTAAACTGGTTTATTGGCATCGAAGCGGATGACGAGGTTCCACAAAACTATTACCATAGATTAAGTTATACCCCAAACCACTTGAAATCCGTTCTTCTTTTATTTTTATTTTATTTTGCAATATTACATCTACGCACCTAAAACCCATCTTTACAGGATGAACTGAAGAACGCCAACACACCCCAAAGAGAAAGCTAGGTGGCGACGTCTCCTAAGGTTTGGTAGAGTGAGACGAACACCAAATCATACAGGTAACAGGTGCAAATGGTAGCGCTTGGTCGCTGACCAGCCCTGTAAACAGGAACTGAGCCATTTTTATGGTCTACAGCAAAATATCTTTGTGCTGCCCCCTGATTACGACAACAAAAATAATGACCAATGGTAAACAACCGTTTTGACCCTGTACGCAATACCATTGGGCTTTTTAGTTCTCCCTAGCTAAATATTGTTACCTAATATACCTCAGCTTACCCAACCGTGGGGTGATCGGATTCGAAGTTTATTCCTGTCCTAATTTTCTTCTTCCATGGCTAGAATTCTAGCCATTTTCAGTGAAAACTCATATAGATTGTCTGTCTGTCTGTCTACTTATTTGGTTATTTGCGGAAGTAGAATCCAGTATGTCCTTCAAATGACTCGTACTCGATGCATCTATTCAAACCGGATTTCCGCAATGAAGCGTTCGCTCTTGATTCTGAGACTTATGTTATGATTACATAAACAGTCCCGCAGAGCACATTTTCAAACAGAACAAGGAGTGGCGAACAAGCCCGTTTTCAGTCATTCGTAGTCATGCCAAATACATCACAATAAATATTACGCTGTTTATATATAAATCGGTATTCAATAATAAAAACGTAAACAAATGTTTCGGGAAAGGGAAAATAACCTCATGGGTTATCTGGGACTAAGTTCATCTTGGGACCGGATATGGAATTATCAATGATCGCATAATTGTTAGGTCATCCGATCGTTGCAACCAATCGGAATATGGGGTTTATAGGGGGTGGGCCAGGGGAGCTTAAGCGCCTGCACAAATTGTTTTTGGGCACACAAAGAGGGTGGTGCAGCCGAATTCCTACCGCTTCCGCTGTGGCTAGCATACGACAGCGAACCTGCCTTGATAATCGACCACGAACCCGATACAGAGG